CCCCCAGCCGGGCTCTTCTGGCTTCGCCGCCGCCGCCGCCACCGCAGCCCGCAGAGGACCTTCCCGAGCCTGAAGCCGCCGGCTCGGCGCGCTAGGAGGCGAGCAGGCGAGGAGGGGCCGGGGCGAGCGAGCAAGCACATTGGCGTGAGCAGGGGGGAGGGAGGGCGGGCGCGGGGGGCGCGGGCAGGGCGGGGGGGGTGTGTGCGCGCTCGGAGGTTTCGGGCCAGCCACCGCCGCGCGAGCTAGAAGCGCCCCAGCCCGGCAAGCTGGCTCACCCGCTGGCCACCCAGCACAGCCCGCTGGCCCCTCTCCTGCAGCCCATCTGGCGGAGCGGCGGCGGCGGCGGCGGCAGGAGAATGGCATCAGAACTGGCAATGAGCAACTCCGACCTGCCCACCAGTCCTCTGGCCATGGAATATGTTAATGACTTCGATCTGATGAAGTTTGAAGTGAAAAAGGAACCGGTGGAGACCGACCGCATCATCAGCCAGTGTGGCCGTCTCATCGCCGGGGGCTCGCTGTCCTCCACCCCCATGAGCACGCCGTGCAGCTCGGTGCCCCCTTCCCCCAGCTTCTCGGCGCCCAGCCCGGGCTCGGGCAGCGAGCAGAAGGCGCACCTGGAAGACTACTACTGGATGACCGGCTACCCGCAGCAGCTGAACCCCGAGGCGCTGGGCTTCAGCCCCGAGGACGCGGTCGAGGCGCTCATCAGCAACAGCCACCAGCTCCAGGGCGGCTTCGATGGCTACGCGCGCGGGGCGCAGCAGCTGGCCTCGGCGGCCGGGGCCGGCGCCGGCGCCTCCCTGGGCGGCAGCGGCGAGGAGATGGGCCCCGCCGCCGCCGTGGTGTCCGCCGTGATCGCCGCGGCCGCCGCGCAGAGCGGCGCGGGCCCGCACTACCACCACCACCACCACCACCACGCCGCCGGCCACCACCATCACCCGACGGCCGGCGCGCCCGGCGCCGCGGGCAGCGCGTCCGCCTCGGCCGGTGGCGCGGGCGGCTCGGGCGGCGGCGGCCCGGCCAGCGCCGGGGGCGGCGGCGGCGGCGGCGGAGGCGGCGGCGGCGGCGGGGGCGCGGCGGGGGCGGGGGGCGCCCTGCACCCGCACCACGCCGCCGGCGGCCTGCACTTCGACGACCGCTTCTCCGACGAGCAGCTGGTGACCATGTCGGTGCGCGAGCTGAACCGGCAGCTGCGCGGGGTCAGCAAGGAGGAGGTGATCCGGCTGAAGCAGAAGAGGCGGACCCTGAAAAACCGCGGCTATGCCCAGTCCTGCCGCTTCAAGAGGGTGCAGCAGAGGCACGTCCTGGAGTCCGAGAAGAACCAGCTGCTGCAGCAGGTCGACCACCTCAAGCAGGAGATCTCCAGGCTGGTGCGCGAGAGGGACGCGTACAAGGAGAAATACGAGAAGCTGGTGAGCAGCGGCTTCCGAGAAAACGGCTCGAGCAGCGACAACCCGTCCTCTCCCGAGTTTTTCATGTGAGTCTGACACGCGATCCCAGCTAGCCACCTTGATAAGTGCTCCGTGGGGGTCCGACTCGGGTGTGGGCTTGCCACTTCCAGAGCCTTACTCGCCACCGCCTCGCCCCCTCCCCTCCCGAGCTTGCCCCCCCCAGTTGCCCCCTGCGCGCACGCACACGCACACGCACACGCACACACACATACACACCACACAACACACACCGTGCTCCGAGTTGGTGGTGGTGGCGACGGCTGTTTTGAAGTCGGGGAGGGGCAGGTTGTCTGGCTTATGCATTGCCAATCTGAAATTCTCCATAACTCGCTAGCTTGTTTTGTTTTTTTTTAACCCCCCCCCCCCCCCCACAACGTGCTCAATGTTCAGCGATCTCGGCAGAGTTCCTCATGCTCACCTTTGAAGCCTGCATCATTCACATATTTTTTTCTTCAGTTCATGAGCTGGTGTTCATTTTCTGTGTGTGTGTTTTTGTTTTGTTTGGATTTTTTTTTTTAATTTGAGTTTTTGGAGCTTGCTGTGTTACCTCCATTTTTTTCCTTCCCACACTCCACCCTCACTCCCTCTCCACCCATCTCCTCTGAGATAAAGGAAAAAAAAGAAAAAAAAAAAAAAAGCTAAGTTTTTTTTTCTCCTCCTGAGTTCTTCGTATGAGATTGAGCTTGCAAAGGAAAAAAAAAAAATGTGAAATGTTATACACTTGCAGCGTGCTGAGTTCCATCGGGTTTTTTTGAGCATTGTTATGCTAAAATAGAGGGGGAAAATCCTCATGAACCTGCCACAATCAAGCCTGCATCAACCTTCTGGGTGTGACTCGTGAGTTTTGGTCCTTATGATGCCAAATCTGAGAGTTTAGTCTGCCATTTAAAAAACTCATTCTCATCTCATGCATTATTATGCTTGCTACTTTGTCTTAGCAACAATGAACTATAACTGTTTCAAAGACTTTATGGAAAAGAGACATTATATTAATAAAAAAAAAAAAGCCTGCATGCTGGACATGTATGGTATAATTATTTTTTTCTTTTTTTTTTTTCCTTTTGGCTTGGAAATGGACGTTCGAAGACTTATGGCATTGGCATTCATACTTTTGTTTTATTGCCTCATGAGTTTTTTGAGTTCAGAACAAAAAAAGTGCAACCGTAGAGCCTTCTTCCCATGAAAGTTTGCATCTGCTCCAAAACTGCTTTGAGTTACTCAGAACTTCAGCCTCCCATTGTAAATGCACTGAAGGGATTCCTTGTTAAAGATGCCAGAATGGGTTAAAAAATTTAACACGGCCAACAGTAAAGAACTCTTAATGCTTTCTTTTTAATAAGAATGACTGCCCCACTGGGGGGACTAAAATTGTGCTGTTGCCGAAAGCAGTCTAAAATTTATTTTTTAAAAAAAGAAATCTGCCCCGTTATTTTTTTGGTTTGTTTTCTTTTTCTTTTTCCTTTTTTTTTTTTTTTTTTTTTTTTTTTTTTTTTTTTTTTTTTCAAATGTGGAATGTTTTTTGTTTTTTTTTTTTTTTTTTTTTTCTTTTTTTTTTTTTTTTTTTTTTTTTGGCTTTTGGTCATTGTCAAATGTGGAATGCTATGGGTTTCTAGTATATAATTTAATTCTAGTTTTTATAATCTGTTAGCCCAGTTAAAATGTATGCTACAGATAAAGGAATGTTATAGATAAATTTGAAAGAGTTAGGTCTGTTTAGCTGTAGATTTTTTAAAAGATTGATGCACTAAATTGTTTACTGTTGTGATGTTAAGGGGGGTAGAGTTTGCAAGGGGACTGTTTAAAAAAAAGTAGCTTATACAGCATGTGCTTGCAACTTAAATATAAGTTGGGTATGTGTAGTCTTTGCTATACCACTGACTGTATTGAAAACCAAAGTATTAAAAGGGGAAACACCCCTGTTTATATCTGTAGGGGTATTTTACATTCAAAATGTATGTTTTTTTTTTCAAAATTAAAGTATTTGGGACTGAATTGCACTAAGATATAACCTGCAAGCATATAATACAAAAAAAAATTTGCAAAACTGTTTAGAACGCTAATAAATTTATGCAGTTATAAAAAATGGCATTACTGCACAGTTTTAAGATGATGCAGATTTTTTTACAGTTGTATTGTGGTGCAGAACTGGATTTTCTGTAACTTAAAAAAAAAATCCACAGTTTTAAAGGCAATAATCAGTAAATGTTATTTTCAGGGACTGACATCCTGTCTTTAAAAACAAAATGAAAAGTAAATCTTACCACAATAAATATAAAAAAATCTTGTCAGTTACTTTTCTTTTACATATTTTGCTGTGCAAAATTGTTTTATATCTTGAGTTACTAACTAACCACGCGTGATGTTCCTATGTGCTTTTCTTTCATTTTCAATTCTGGTTATATCAAGAGAAAGAATAATCTACAATAATAAACTGCATTTTTTTTTGATTCTGTACTCAGTTTCTTAGTGTACAGTTTAACTGGGCCCAACACTGCGTTAGAAGTGTAAAAGCCATCCTTTTCTCCAGAGGAAGGATTAATGGAGAAGTAATGAGGCAATAATTCAGAGTGAAACATAGGCTGTTTTGTGAGGTGGAAGGCCAGTCCCTTCCAATAATTAGTAATATTTAATATAAATGTAAATTACAATCTCTCAAAATCCCCCTCCCCCAGAGTTTTCAGTTTTCAAGTAAGTAGAGACATCATTGCCCTGGTGGAAACAAACAAACAAAAATCCCAACCAGAGAGCAGGGCCTTCTCAGCCTCGCCCTGAGCTTCTCATCCCACCACACACCCATCTAGAGGGAAACAAGCCCGGCAGAGAAGGCATTGGCAGAGGTGGCTTGGGCACATATGCATTCAATGGTAAAGATAAACAATTCTTGCCTTTTGGCTCAAATTGATTATTTTTCCTTCTCCCCTTACATGCCATGATTTTCTTGTTAGCAAGGCCTGATGGGATTTCACATCAACACTTTGGACAAATTACAGTTGTTTGTTTGTTTCTTAACTTTGAAGGTCATTTGTCTTAAATAGGAAAAAGAAAAATCCACCTCTCACAGAAGTCCAAGTACGTATCTGGGTTTAAACTGTTATTAAATCATATTTCCCTGTGAATATTTAGCTGAGGGCTTCTCCACGTAGATGAGCTGGTAATGATTTCAGAGCACCTGGAATACAAGCAAAAAATAATGCCTGGTTGGAATAAAGGCTGTGCTTTGATTTATCGGTATCTACCCCAACACAGGCTACGTGTGCGGGCTCACTTAAAAGATCCCTTGGAAAGTCTGGAGCTACCTTCACTAACAGCATTGACCTATTTTAAAATGACACAAATTCATGCAACTAATGTTACAAATTCATGCAGTTTGCATTCTTCAGCAACTTCCCCTAGATGGCTAATAGAATGTTAGACAGAGCCAACACTGTTTTGAAAATATAGCCAAACACGGTGACTTTTGTTTTATTTTGTTTTCTGTTCTTCAAAAAATAATAAGAATAATAATATTGCAACTCTGAACGAAGGCGTGATTTTGAGGAAAACAGGTTGTGCTTTTGGCGCTGATGAGCTCTGGCCCGTGTATCAGCCTTCCTACCCTTTTTCACAGAACATGAAGACAGTGGATAGGGCCCCTGAATCCACACTTTATTTTGCTTTAACACAAGTCTTAAGAGTAAACCTACCTCCATGTGCTTGAAGTTAGCTGTTCTTCTCTGTTTCAGAGTTCTTGTTTTGCTTTGTTTTGTTTTTTTGGTCTGATCCCAATGGGGAGATTTGCAGTCTCCCCCTGTAGGAGCAGAAATATCGCGTATACAGGAAGCCCAGCATCTGACACAAAATTTTAGGCAAACATTTTCAAAATAACAGTGACCTGGATGGAGTTATTGCAGTTACCTCATGAGGAATGCCACTTGCGAAAAAAATACAGTGGTCCAACAATTAAGCATTTTGATAGGCCCCTACAAGGCAGTTTAATATAATAAGCAGGTTTTTGCCCCAAATATGAAAAAGCCAAATACAGAGGTGCTGGCAAAAAAGTGAGGTTTTGGTGGCTGCCTTTAAGAGAAGGCTAACTCCTAATGAAAGGCACTTTCAGAAATAACCATTACTAAAAACTTTGAAATGTAATGAGAGTGGTGAACACAAATACATGCTTTTTTTTTTTTTAACGAAGAAATCCTTCCTGAGTGCCCTTACAACAAATAAGTCTCTACATTTTTTTTTTTTAATCATGTAAGGAAATCTAGCTTTCCCTTTACACTGCATTTGAGTCTTTGTCTAAATAGTGTTAAAATTCCTTTCATTCCAAATACAGAACTGAGCCCACTCACAAGTTGGAGCCATCGGTGGGATACACCACATTTTGGAAGCCCCACAGCGTCATGTGCTTACCCGTGTATTCACAAAATGAAATTTACGTGAGAAGTGTATTTTTATTTTTTTTATTACTATCTGCAGTCATGGAAAACAGCCTACCCCTGACCTCTGTTTAGTTTCCTTTTTAAAAAAAATAAATGTGTTAAGAGATGAAAGCTATTAAATGTATAAGCTCCATGCTAATTAACTGTGCCTCCTGTCTGAGGATCATACAGACCCAGAGAAAAGCACGCTGGTGTTTCTTACTGTACGATGCGCCAGAATGAATAGATGCGATTGTTTTCAACCTGTAATATTGGTTTTAAAAAAAACAAAAAAATCCACTGAAATTTACAAGGTATATGCGTTGATATGAAGGGAAGTGTCACAGAAGGTTAACAGCTAGCATTTTTAAAGCCTATGTAGACGTGCACACTCTAAACAGTACTTTTTCACGCTTCATTGTTTCTCTGGCAGATAATTTTACTAAGAAGAAAAATAAATAAATAATTGACCCCCCCCCTCCCCAATTAGATGCCACGGGCAGAAGCTTTAACAGAGCCGAGCACCCTGATTTTCTCTCGGGCCCTGGATAGTATTGTATTTATCAGTGATGTCAAACGTGGTCATTCATCAGACAGAGCCGTAAGTGAAACCAATGTTAGTTAAGTACACCCCCTCCGTGTGCTTTTTTTTCCCTCCCCCTTCTCTGCTCTCAGGCATCCACAAAGTCACCTCCCATGTTTTCTTTTTTTCCAGAACCGTGTAATAATTTTTTACAATGTATCCGACACATTAATAGATTGACATCAAATAGGCAGAGATTCTACTTCCTGATCTCAGTGAGGAAGTGATGTGTAGATAATCGTATTTATCTGCCTTCATGCCATAACCACCTGGGCTCTCAACAGAGGCCGTTCCAATGCGAGATGCTCTATTTATTACTGAATGCGGGATTCTAAGGCTCTGATCTTTTCCCCCTTATACCTTTACCCCGGTAGTTTTTATTTAGTAACGTTGATTCGAGATACTTCTGCTCTTAAATAGGACCTCCCCTTGCCAAACCACCAGCTTTAAGGTTAAACACAGTGTACAGGGGGCAAATGGTAACCACACTTGCAAACATGGGGCGCAGCTGTCTCAGAAGCCACATTCCCAGCGTGTCCTTGTCTGAAATGACTGAAGTGGCTTGTGACACATTCAGAGGTTCCCGAGTACAGTAGTTGGAAGGTTTTTGCTGTTGTCTTTGTT